TGCTATTATTGTGAAAAGGAAGCACCTAGGAGCAACAACAGCTCAGCCACGAAGTGGCAGACCACGCAAACTCACAGAGTGAGGCCAGGAAGTGCTGAAGAGTGTCTATCCTCTGATGAATCATTCACTAAAGAGATCCAAACTGCTTCTGGAAGCAACATCGGCAAATTAACTGCATGTTAGGAGCTTTATGAAATGGGTTGCCAAGGCCGAGGAACTACACACCAGCCTAAACTCTAAATGCACAATGCCAAGCGCCGGCTGGAGTAGTATAAAAGACGCCACTGCTGGACTCTGGAGCAGTGGAAACGTGTTCTCTGGAATGACGAATCACGCTTCACTATCTTACAGTCTGATGGATAAATCTGGGTTTGCCAGATTTATCCAGGAGAACGTTACAGTGGCACGTGCCTCTTGGGCCCCGATGATGGCCGTGAGAGCCTGCCAGGAGGCGGGGTCCGTACACCGAGCGGTGATGAACCCCGGTGAGGACGGCAGGGAGAGAGCCGTGTTTGGGTGGGGGACAAAGCGCAAAGCCCAAGCTCCGCTGAGGGACGCGTGTGACAGCGGGAGGAGGAGGATGACGGTAACGGCCACGACAGGCACACGGGCAAGGAGCATATTTACAATAATAATAATGTAATAACTTCTGTGAGGGAGCTTTTAGAGGTGGACGTCTGGTTCCTATCACCACCACTGAGAACAATTTTGACCCGGTAAGTTTCTCTAGGACGGAGCGTTTCACACCAAACCACTCTGAACGACTCTGTTTACATCTCAACTATTTAATTATGCATATTTCTCTGGTGAAACTGGTAGAATTCCCCTTTGAGTTCAATATATAGACTAAACTATCCAATCAAGAAAATGATAAGATAATTAATGATTAGAGGAACCTTGTTTACATAGTAACTTGTTAAATCAAATATGGATGATGTGTGACTTTCTTTCACTTGTTTGAGCATCAAGAACACCTTCAGTTTCATTAGAACACATATTAAATGTACTGACTAAGAAAACAAACTTAGTTTCAATACATTTACGAGGATTCTATTGAAGCACTCGGTAGAAAGGAATAAAGAGGTAAAGTGGCACCTGTACACAAATATGTGGCATGTTAACAGTGGCTTATTGACTGATTAACAACAATACATAAAACAGAAAGTAAAAGCATTCCTCCTCCACCCAGAGCTAAAAAAAGTTTGTAACACATTTAGCATAAACGCTGCCAGTTAAAGGAAACGCTTGATAAAAAAATTAAACACAATTGTAATCAAATATAATCAGTCATCCAAGAGTAATGTGGATTCCAATGCTGTACTACATACTCTTATTTACAAACCACATATAAAAGTACAAACAAAATTCAGGCTTCAAGGTGGCAAAAGTTGGATAATCCTCTTGCGTAAGGAGAAGAACCTCGAAGCATGACTAAAACCAAGAGTTTCCAAAACTGGACTTCAAAAACTGATTAAAAGCTACAGAGAAAATGAGTCTCCTAACAACCACCTGGAAGACCTGGTAGACACCAAAACTGCCCCCATCAAATAAACAGCACTTAAAGCTTTCATCTCTGAGAGAGAGGAGAAAATCAAGCTGCTGCAGATCTGAAAACATCCACAGGTGTTTCTGTCCATCCTTCCACTGTGAGAAGACGACTCAGCGCTGTGGGTCTGAAAGGATGTGTAGCTGTCAAGAAGAACCTCACTGAGAAAAGGAGATGGACACATCAAACAAAGAAGCTGAACGATGGACTGACCACCCCAGAGTCCAGACCTCAACATCACTGAATGTGTTTGATTACATCAGAAAATGATCAACCAGCTTCTAAGACTGAACTTTGGAGGTGTGTCTGCAGATTCTTTGAAAAGAATAAGAGCTGTGATAAAGGTAAAGAGTGGACAAACCAAATACTAAAAATGATATCATATTTAGATCTTTGCACTGTATTCATGTTTAGAGATATCAGTGAGTCATACAGTGTCAGAAAGTACATAATCAATTCTAGAAATAGAAATACTGCTCTCACACATCACACACTCGAGGGGAGTGTGTGATGATTTAGGCATGTGGTTTGATGCTAATGGCCAGCTATAAGCTTCTATTACTTGTTAGCCACATTAGCCAAAACTAAACACATGAATATCGGACACCGAGCGTGTATCTGCTAAAAAAGTTAAATTTCACTGAAACAGTCCGTTAAAGAAGGAAGTCAGTGCAGAACATTTTGCTAACATACTAATCAGCGTCACTGTGCTCGGCAGGGCTTGTTGAGGAATGTGAGGAATTTCAGGTTTACATAGCAGGTATTTTGCCCTATTTTTGCACCTGAAGTAAAGAAACAGTTCAGTAGACAAAAGAGCTAATGTTGCTACGAGTGAATGAAAGTGAATAGACGTTAGCATTATGCAAATATTGCCAAGCTACTAGCTTCAATTTGTTGTTAGCAGTTGGGAACCCTCAGTGCTTTCTGGGCCTTCAAAAGAAGGTAGGATGATATTTCTGAATTTAAAAAATGACGTCTGTAACTTTTAGTTGATTAGTAGCATTTAATATAATTATCATGCTTGTTGTATTTGAACTCTGCAAGTATTGTAGCTTAATACTCTCCTTTCATGGTCAATTCTGGTTGGAAACAAAAAGGTTAAATTCTTGAAATGCTTCCATGAAAAATGATCTAATCAAGATTTTGTAGCTAGGTGGCTACAGCCAAGTGAGCTCTCCCATTGGTTAGGACTTCAGGAGCTGGACAGAAGGCCTAATCAAGGGAACAGCAACATGCGGCTCTTTTACTGCCCTCTTGTGGCTCCACAGGAGAATTAGATTTGTAGGTAAAAATAAAATAATCCTCCTTTACAGTAAAATAAAGCTCTGCTGATCGTTCAACACAGTTTAACACTAAATGGTCTTAAACTCTGGAGTTAATGTAGAACTGCTAATTCACCCTTCAACCCTGAAGATCAGCGCAGACTGCTGGTCGCCATAGTAACGTATACAATGGTCTTGTCTAGCTAACGAGACGACAAAAAGAAAGATTTAAGACAAACATTTTTACGATAATTTGGAGACAAATTGGAGACAAATTAGACAAATTGACTTATTTGTGTTTATAATCACTGCATCTGGTTTCCTGATAAGTTTAATTGCCATGTTCCACCTTAAATGGTTTATCAGTTACATTCTGCTATCTCAGGTACCATTTAAGGTGGAATGAGAAAATTAGAACAAGAAGCTGGTGAATGAGAAGCGAATTCAGCCTTGTAAAAGTTGAACGTTTAGAGACATTTTACAGGAAACTATTTTACTTTAGAGGAAAAGTTTCCTGCCAGAGATGTGAGAAAAGTGGCTACAGCTGACCTAAAGCTTAAAGCAGAGCAAAGTAAGAATGAGTTTTCAAGTCTTTACTAGCACATCAGCACATACTAAAACAGATTTACAGCCAAGATGGTAAAACAGACATAAAATGTTGTGGCTCTCAGAGTGGTCTGATTTTTTGTTGAAAGGACAAAACATTTGGGTTGCCAACCCCTGGTCTAACCTGTCAGATTAACTACCAACATAATTAGGAACTGACAGTGCAATCAACCCATCATGTTTTGCAATGGGTGGGACCAATTTTGTGAGAAAAAAACGTCACTCCAGGCCTTCTGAAAGTTCTAGAAATGTCACTGACTGTGAATGCGAGTTGTAGTCGAAACCAGGCTCCGGTTAGTTCAGGGGTCAGCAACATGCGGCTCTTTTACTGTCTTGTAAGCCTCCTGTGCAGTAAAATAAAGATCTGCTGATCGTTCAAGGCAGTTTAACAATAAATGGTCTTAAATGCTGGAGTTAATGTATAACTGCTAATTCACCCTTTAACCCTGAAGATGCAGCAGTTACAGTCTGGCGCCTCAGGCACCATTTAAGGTGGAACAGGAAAATTAGAACAAGAAACTGGCGAATGAGAAGCGACTTCAGCCTTGTAAAATATCAAACACTGAGAGACATTTTACGAGAAACTGTTTTACTTTTAAGGAAAAGGTTCCTGCTGGAGATGTGAGAAAATCGGCTATACCTGAGCTAAAGCTTAAAGCAGAGCAAAGTAAGCCTGTGTTTTTGATTATATTATCTTTTTTAGCTTATACTAGGACATCAGCACATACAGAGACACATTCACAGCCAAGATGGTAAAATGGAAATAAAATGTTGAGGCTCCCGAAGTGGATTGATTTTGTTGAAAGGACAAAATGGCTCTTCTTAACATCTGGGTTGTGACCCCTGATCTAACCTGTCAGATTAACTACCAACATGATTAGTAACGGACAGCACAATCACGTTTTGCAGTGGGTGGGACCAATTTTGCGAGAAAAATATCACTTCTGGCCTTCTGGAAGTTCTAGCAACATCACTGACTGTGAATACGAGCCACAGCCTAACCAGATTCTGGTTAGTTGTTAGAAATGGAAAACAGCAGCAGCAGCTATAACAGCCAGAAACTGTTCATGTGAATTGCTGTTAACTTAGCGCTAACACACTACCGGAATCCCCTAGGGGTGCTAGCGGAAATTAGCATCGTCCTAGAGGTGTTTGTTCCTCATTTTTGACCAAGTTTTGACATTTATTGACTGCAAAGAAGTCCTAGCATTAACAGTCATGGTTGCTAGTCATGTTAGCATGAATCTCTTAAGCGCCCTGGACTCCCACAAAAGCACCTAACTAATGTTCCTCTGACACCGGGCAAGTCCAGACACACACACACGCGCACACACACACACACACACACACACACAGTGGTGGGAGGCAGTCTGCAGGTAGCTCTCGTGACCTAGATTCAGCGGAGAACGTTTGAGCTTAGCGAACAGAGCTTATATTCTCACTGGAATCACAATCTTGATAGCGACTCAGCTAGAGGGAGGGCGAGAGAGCATGTGTCTGAGTGAGTGAGGGAGAGATTAGAGCGAGGTGGAGGGTTAAAGGCAGAACACAGCAACTCAGGTGTGAGAGTGAAGTCGGTGGGGGAGGGAGGAGGGGAGGAGGGAGGAGGGGGCGCGGAAGGGTGGAGGGAGGAGAGAGATAAGTTTGGAGAAGGAAAGGAAAGAATTGGGAGGGAAGCGAAAGAAGCCTGGAAGCAGAAGTGGGCGGGGCCCAAGAAAGAACAGGGTAAAGTTACACATAAGACAACAAAGGCCAGCAGGCAGGAGAGAGAGAGGGAGGGAGAGAGAGAGAGAGAGAGAAAGAGAGAGAAACTGAAAGAGAGACATCTACAGAGAACACGGGCGAGATAACAGAAAAAGGGAAGATGGCTTTAGGTTCAACTTTATGACGTAAGATGACTGCTGGTAAATGACAAGTGCGAAAGAAGGAAGGAAAGAGTTGCTGGTGGAGGAGTGCGAGGGTTAAAGAGAAAGAGGAGAGAGAGAGAGAGAGCAATAGAGAGAGAGGGAGGTAACTACAGTACACTGAGCAGGCTGTGAATTGGGCGTCTTGCCTTTACGCTGAGTTGTTTTAGATGAACATGTGAGCAAAAGTTTGCAGGCAGATCACACTACGGACACACCGAGAGAGCGAGAGAGAGAGCGAGAGAAAAACAAACCTGACCATGCTGTTGAAAGAGTACAGGATATGCATGCCTCTTACTGTAGAGGAGGTAAGTTCTGCTGAATTCTATGTGTTTTATTATGTAAGACAGAGAATTCATATTAAAATCTATTTATTTGGTTTATTTTGCTAAGTATGTTAGAATCACTTGAAGGGGAATTCCACCACTTTTCTCTAATTTCTGCATTTCTGCACTGGTTGTGATGTAAAACTCATTCAGAGTGGTTTGGTGTGAAACGCTTCAGATTTCTTTACAGCGGTGGTGATAGGAACCAGGGCTCGCCATGACTACAACACAAATATAGACATTTTATTTACTATCCAAAACCACCAGTAAGTCTTCTGAGCTTCTGAATCTTCTTAAAACTATCATAAAACAGTGTCTCAGTCATCAGTGAACTCATAACCATTTCATGTAATAACTCTGTGAGGGAGCTTTTAGAGGTGGACGTCTGGTTCCTATCACCACCACTGTGTACAATTCTGACTTGGTCAGTTTTCTAAAACAGAGCGTTTCACACCAAACCACTCTGAACGACTCTGTTTACATCTTAACCATTTAATTACGCAGAAACTTTGTAATATTGGTGGAATTACCCTTTAGGTAATGTAATTGAGTACTGATTTTAAACTGTTATCATTTTTTTTATTAAAGAATTGTAATGTAATTTGATTATTTTTTGGATATATTAGTGATCTTATATCTTCTCCCTGTTGATCTTCTAAAGTAAAGTTGTTGTTATACAACAACTGGTCAAATGCTGACCACTCTATAGTACAATACTATATATTTCAACAATGTAATCCTTAATAAAAGTCACCCTTAAAAAGCAACTGTAATCTGATAAGGCATATTGTCACAGGTATCCTACTCTGATTACAAGATAACATAATCCAGATTACAGGTAGTCCATTCATACCTGACAGAGGCTACAATAAATAAACATTCACACAGTGTGCCTGTGTGTTAATAAACCTCTCCTGGGTCAGCCTGTATTTGTCATTAATTATACTCCAGTTAGCCTGGCTGATCAAGTCAGATAGTGAGACAGGTGTAACCTTTCTTTTCACTCCATTAATGCTTATTTGTGTTTATCCCAGTGTTATATAATTATTTTACATATATAAACATCCTGCCCAGAGACCATATTTTATATTTTTCTTCGTTTTTTAAAAAAAATCTGCACTCCACTTTCAACATTTGTGTATTTATGCATCAAAAACAGTCTCAATACATGCCTACATGGCCATTTTCCATCTTTTCTTTATACCTTACAATTAAACAAGCTGCGTTCCAAAGCCTAGGCTGCGGCCGAGGTAGGGCGGGTCCTCGGTAGGGCTGTCCTATGGAGACTCCTCCTTAGTAGCCTATTGGTCACACAAATGGACAAGTCCTAACAAGGCTGCATATCGATGTCATCAGCCTGGCGCGAAACTTGTGAGGGAACTGGTGAGAAAATGGAGCCGCTGCTTTGAGTTTGTTGCTTTTTCATTTCTTCACAGAAATGGAGGAGATGTTCTTATAGTGTACGATAAACTACACACACACAAATACTTCTAAACAAACTACGATATATGAACGATATGCAGTATATGGGCGAACGCTTCAGTTAATCAGTCATTTTACACTTTAAGGTAACAAAGACGAATTCAAGGATGTGAACAACTTACATTGTAAAACAAGCTCTGCTCCAATGGCTTTGTTTTCTGCCATTTTCTTGGTGCTGTTTTTTTTTTCTTCGTGTCGTTCGTGCGCAGAGAACTGTTGGTAACCAAAGGCCTGGAAGGATCCATCTGTTACGTCCTCAAAATCACTCAGAACATAGGCTGCATTTCTAGGCTGTATATGAAGGGTCCTTCACTTTGGAGCGGCCTTCTAAGATGTAGAGGCCGCAAAATGCAGCCTAGGCTTTGAAACGCAGCTACAGGCTGTGCCTTTAAGACTAATATATGCAAATCAGCTCTGTTCTGATTGGCCGCAGACAACAATCTCGTCTAGTAGATTTAAGACGAACTTCGATAATTGGAGATGAACGAACTTTGCGTTTATAATCACTCCAGCTGGTTTCCTGATACGTTTAATCTGCATCAAGAAACTGTCAAACACTAAAGAGCTCACTTCAGCTTCTCATTCGAACGTTCCCGTTCCACTTTAAATGGTGCAGCAGTTACATTCAGACACCATTTAAGGTGGAGCGGGAAAATTCGAACAAGAAGCTGGCGAATGAGAAGTGACTCCAGCCTCGTAAAAAGTCGAACGTTAAGAGACATTTTACAAGAAACTGTTCCACTTTCGAGGAAAAGTTTCCTGCCAGAGATGTGAGAAAAGCGACTATAGCTGAGCTAAAGCTTAAAGCAGAGCAAAGTAAGTCTGTGTTTTCATTTGTATTATATTGTCTTTTAGCTTTTACTAGCACATCAGCACATACTGAGACATATTTACAGCCAAGATGGTAAAATGGACATAAAACATTGTGGCTCCCAAGGTGGTTTGATTTTTGCTGAAAGGACAAAATGGCTCTTCTTAACGTTTGGGTTGCGACCCCTGATCTACATGGACTTGATACATTTGGAAATATTCACATAGTACATTAAACTCTTTATTTAAAAAAGGGAAATTCAGTTTTCCACGATAGAGGCCCTTTAAAAGACTGTACAGTGCTGCAGTGGTGCTGCAGTAGGCTTGTAGTAGTGTTGACTCATACCACACATTTAAACCAGCTCATACTAAATGTACTCTACACAAATAAAACAATAAAAGAGTTTATAAAGGGCATTGGCCTTTTTTTAATGACTTAAAAGGAAACAAGAGAGAAGTAAATACACAAAACACGTCCCACGTAAGTGGAGCAGATCATAATTCCGTCACACAGCTCCGAATGCCAGAATATAAATATCATCACTGTCGTAAGAAGATCTCATGGTAACTTTATAGGAGGAATATGTTTTATTTCAGGTAATACTGGTCCATTCATCATGAGATCATGAGTTCACACGATGCTTGTAACGATGCAAACGGTGTGAAAAAAACAATAAAAATATCATGACGTCGTCATATGACAGCATTACAGGGGAATTCCACCATTTTTTTTTCAAAATTTTCGCATAAATCAGTGCACTGTAGCGAAACTCAGACGTGGATTTCTTTATAGTGGTGGTGATACAAACTAGGAGTTGCCATGTTTACAATACAAGCCATTTTATTTACTCTCAAAAATAGTGAAAGGTCTGAAAAAAATAACTTTGGGGACTATTTTGAATAAAATAAAAACAAAATTAGGCTAAACCGTGTTGTAAAACCATCATAAAACAACATCTCAGGCATCAGGCAGTGAATTCATAACCATTTCATGTAATAACTTTCTGTGAGGGAGCTTTTAGAGGTGGACGTCTGGTTCCTATCACCACTACTGTGAACAATTCTGACTCTAGAATGGAGCGTTTCACACCAAACCACTCTGAATGACTTTGCATCTTCATAAAGTTGTTATGCAGAAATTTTGAAAACAAAAAAGTTCCCACACTTTAAGACTCAGGCATGGGAACCTATTCCATGTGTGCGAATGTGTGAGTGCAGTAACTGCAGGTTTTGTTAGCATGGCAAACACGCAGCACCACATTCGATTACTCAGCGAGGTGAGAGAGCTGAGTTTTTGCACTCGGCGCCAATTGAAAGTGAACTTTAGCGTGAAGTCGACCCTCAGCCAGTGAAGTGCTTCAGCCTTTGACCCCGTCCATGTAGCCTACAGTAAAACTTTAAACCAGGCAAGAAGTGCAAGGCACCAGAGCAGCCTCAGACTGCTGCTCACGTCAGCAGAACGTGTGCGGATTTATGTGCTTGGCGGGGTGTTTGCTTGTGTTCAACTGTCTCCGTCTCAGCCTGTCGTTGTGTTTCCAAAACAAGTCCGACCGGTTAACCTGTGTAACCCTGCAGGCCGTGGAGAGAAAATAACATGGAAAGACTCCGCAGGCTGTTATAGGGACTCGCATTCCGATGAACTGTCAACACTGAGGATGGGACGGGACTGAATTTAGGACAGTTCATAAGTTTGTTATCTTATCTGAACTCCAGACAGGAAAATAGTACTATAGGAGCATCCTAATTTGACAAAATTCCTTAATCTAGGAATGGTATCAATTTTAGGACACTGTGACAAGCAGCACAACAAACTCACTAGCAATAAAATTATACCATTACATTAATTCATAGTGCAAAACGTGTTAATGTAGAAGACAACTAGCCAAGCAGAATACAGTGAGCGGGAAAGGCGTATTCACACTTATATTTTTGTTATATTTAATACACTTCCAGTGCATATATCCACTTCATATTTGCACAAAAAGAATGTATTCATGTATTCATGATATTCCAACAAATACAGGGCAAATCAGAATGGCATCTACTGTCACTCCAACAGAAAGAGGACAAATCAGTCTGTAAACCACATCTACTGTTTCTCCAACGGAAAGAGGACAAGTCAGTTTGTTAACGGAATCAACTGTTATTCCAACGGATAGATCTAACCTATTGTTACAAATCAAATCAGTCTGTAATTGGAATCTACTGTTATTCCAATGGAAAGAAGACAAATCAGAATGGGATCCACTGTTATTCCAATGGAAAGAAGACAAATCAGAATGGGATCTACTGTTATTCCAATGGAAAGAAGACAAATCAGAACGGGATCTACTGTTATTCTAACAGACAAGACATATCAGCACAAGACCTACTGTTATGTCAACAGAACAGGAAAATTCAAAATGTCATCTACTGTTATTCAAACAATTTTTCAAAACATTTCCTCATAATTCAGTGGTTTGGTGTGAAATGGTTCAGATGTCTTTACAGTGGTGGTGATTGGAACCAGGGGTCGCCATGACTACAACACAAATATAGACATTTTATTTACTATCCAGAACCACCAGTGAACCTACACGAGTCTTCTGAGTTTATATGGAATGTTGATGATGGAAAATAGTGGAAAATCTGAAATAGTAAGTTTCCTCTGGGGACTATTTTGCCTCACAACGCCCTGCATGTACACCCTTTTAAAAAAGGGTTCTGTAATAAAAGCAATTGATATATATAGAATCTAGATGATTTGAATGTTTAAATGGTTCTTTGCACAGTTACATGGTGAATAGCACAAAAAAGGGCTCCACTAGTGTTCCTTTTTTTTGGTACTATATATCACCCTAAATGTATTTACAAAAACATATTTTTGGCCAAAATCATCTCAAAACTACTGCAAAACAATAAGACATCATGGAAGCATATTTATAACCACTTCATGTAATAACTTTCTGTGAGGGAGCTTTTAGAGGTGGACGTCTGGTTCCTATCACCACCACTGTGAACAATTCTGACTCAGTAAGTTTCTCTAGAACAGAGCGTTTCACACCAAACCACTCTGAATGACTCTGTTTACATCTTAATCATTTAATTATGGAGAAATTTTGAAGAGTCAGTGGAATTCCCCTTGAAGGATGTTACAAGTTTGGGAGTTACTTCCAGCTAATTATACGCTTTTACTGGAATTGTTGTTCAGATACTGAAAGTCACTGTTTAATGTTTGATGCTCTTCCAGTGAAGCTGATCTTTGTCGAGATGCTGAGATAATGAACTTCATGAGCACACTGTCATAGTCGGCACTGACGCTGGCTGATGAGGGCCGGATGATAAATGGCTGTTTTTTAAATGCGGCTCTCAAAACAAACAGCGCAGTAATACATCACACAGCCTGATCGCTGCGGAGGAACGCGGAGACGTGGTGGAGGATTTCCCACAGCTGATGGAGGGCCGAAGAGCCACTGAGCGCGAAGGAAGGCGCACGGGAAGTGAAACCGAAAGGGTCACAATGCGGAGCCCACTCGAGCCTGAATGATTTATGTCTAACTGAAGCGTTAACCTCAGTAAAGAGAACATGTCTGGGGGTCAAATTACTGTCAAAATCTCTGGTTTTCAGAAGAACTGCTGCATTAAAGAGCCCAGAACAGTTCGATGTGCTTTTGCAAACATTATTAGTTTCAAAATATACCTGGTTTATATTTATATACTAAAAACTAAACTGCAAAAACAGCCCGTTTTGTATGTGAGGTTGTGATGTCACAACCAAGAACATTTAGCCCACACCGGTTTAGTCCCACTCATTCACACTGAGGTCACACTGAGCATCGCTACTGCACATTTCAGTCTGGATGAGGCACAATACAGGGCAGCCAATTGGAACAGAGCTCATTTACACATAGCAGTCTTGAAGGAAAAGTAACAGCCAATAGTTGGAAAATGGTCATGTACAAATTATATTTTGGGTTTTTCCCAATTTTCTCCCCAGTTTAGACATATCCAGTTTTCCCACTAGTTAGGACTCCCCCAGTCACATGACACCACTAGCGCTAAGAGGGCGAAGGCTAGCACAGGCTTTCTACAAGATCTGTGAAAGCCACCACATCTTTTCGAACTGCCGCTAACAAAATTAGACAGCTAAACACGCTAGAAGGAGAACACTAACCACCAGTTCTGTTAGGCCAGCTAACAGAACATCCGCCCTTACTTGCATCACGCTTGCATCATCCTACCCACCCAGAGAGAGCGAGGCCAATTGTGCTCTCTTGGGCTCCCGGCCAAGCATGGCTGTATCATCACCAGGGATCGAACTCATGATCTCATGATGAGAGGGCCAACGCTTAGATGGTTGTGCCACTTGGGAAGCCATGAAAATGAATTCTGACTCTTTTAGGTACATGAATCCACACAAACATCATCAGTGGAACTTGGCTAAAAAGAAAATACAATGAACAGAAATAGAAATGCAAACACTTGATAAAAAAAATACAAAATTTAAATATCAATATAATGTAAGATATCAAAAAAAAATCCAGGATTTTATTTTTGGCTAAAAATGTGGTGCACTGCTGCAGGCATATGGTGGTCACACCAGGTACTAATGTGGGAATTCTGCTTCACGACTCTTTTTTCTGAGGTTTCAGTAAAACTGGTTCAGGACAAAGTGCTTTATATTTTAAAATATGTTTTATATCTATAATGTACAGGAAACAGTAAAATATGTGCCCTGCAAAGCTCAACCTCTGTCTCTCTTTCTCAGTACAAGATTGGGCAGCTGTACATGATCAGCAAGCACAGCCTCGAGCAGAGCGGTGGAGGGGATGGGGTGGAGGTGGTCCGTAACGAGCCCGACATGCACCCCCAGTACGGACAAGGCCAAGTCACAGAGAAACGCATTTACCTCAGCAGGTGAGTCTGCACACTCACTTAAAGCTTATCTGACTTACTGAAAGAACTTCCTCACAGTGAGATGGCAATTTGTTGGACCAACATAAACCCTATTGGAGCTGGATTAGTTTGACCAGTGGAGGTCCAGCACTGTCATCAGTGTGTGATTTGACTGGCTGATTTGTCCAGGATAAAGAATCTGTGTAATTTCCCCAATTTACTCCAAATATCCCGGATCAAAACATCATCTCATGGAGATTTACATCATCTTTACACGACAGGCACCACACTTCCCAACAATAACAACACACTGTGAGACTAACTGGTACAAAGACTAGTAAAATGGGTTCATTTTTACTGACCAAATGACACCCAATAAGACAGAAAACACACTGCCTTGTGAGAGAACAATATTCCCCAAGGACACAAAAAAGTCTGTTCATAATTCATAGCTGATTTAGTCTGATATAATCCGGCTGATCATTCAAACGTGATATATACGCACACAGAACAGCAGACGCTCTGCCTCACGCGAGCCTGAAGATGTGGCAGTGTGAAGACACACGGGAGCACCTGACCGACGCTTCCTGTCCTCCATTACCTCCTTCACTGCTTCATAATCACTCCTTCCTCTCCTCCATCAGCCTGTCAGGTAGCTGATGAAGGCTGATGATGGAGTCTTTTGCTAACGTTCTCAGGACTGTAATTACTCAGCTTTAGAGCCTTTAATTGGCGTGTGATCCACAGCTGCTTTACACAGTCTTTCCTCTCGCTCTGATTTCCTCTCACTCCTAAAGATAACATGCCGGAATAAACTGGAGCTGGAAGATTTCACTCCTTAACCTGTTCGTGTAGAGGCTTTAGGAAGAGCACAGCGAAGTACAGTCTTTAAAAAAATGGTTCTTCAAGGGTTCGTTAGTGAAAGCAATGGTTCTACTTCCATTTCATGCTTAGATAGTTCTTTGGATGGTGAAATGGTTCCTTAGATTCATGGAAAACGTGTTGTATATGTTTTTTCTACTGCAACAAGCTTGACATCGTAACAATAGCAGAACCCTTTGTGATGCTATATAGAACCATATACAACACATTCTCCATCAATCTGAAGAACTCACCATATAAAGACCCATTCAAGCATGAAATCATGGCTCCAAACAGAACCATTCCCTTTACTAAAGAACTCTTGAATAACTTTTTTAATGAGTGTACATCAGGATGTCTTTACAGTGGTGGTGATAGGAACCAGGGGTCACCATGACTACAACACAAATATAGACATTTTATCTACTATCCAAAACCACCAGTGAACCTACACGAGTCTTCTGAGTTTCTATGAAATGTTGATGATGGTAAATAGTGGAAAATCTGAAATAATAAGTTTTCCTTGGGGACTATTTTGCCTCACAACACCCTGCATGTTATGTATCCCAACACCATGAATGGATTTTAAGGCCAAAATCTTCTCAAAACTATCGTAAAACACTGTGTGCCTTTACATGCACTTAATAATATGATAAATGCAAAAAATCATATTTTGTCAGTAATCCAATCAACACGTTTACATGCACTTGAGTAATCAGATAATGTGAAACTCCGGGTCTACAGGTGTCAGACAGTAATCAGATTTCTGCTTTGCAACCAGCCAATAAACTCACAGAAAACATGATGTAAATGTAAACACTGCACCATTTTACCTGAAAATATGAACATACATCATCTGGAAAATGTGGATCAGGAATATTTAAATCCTTCATTTTGTCAAGCATGTACTTGGTTTGCTCACTTATTTCTGGTACCGCGGTCTGTTTTCGCACAGGCGCAGACTGAGAAATCTGAAAGAAATCAGAGTAAGAGTTCACATGCACCGAGAAATCTGATTACTGAGCTAAAATCCAGCCTCTTTATCAGATTTCTTAATCGGATTTCTAGACCTTACTCCGATCTAAGAACCTGGAATGTGGTGTTTGAATAATCAGATAACTGTAGAGTCCGATTATGATCAGATTATTGAGCGCATGTAAACTTACTCAACATCACAGACATCAGGCAGTGAATTCATAACCATTTCATGTAGTAACTTTCTGTGAGGGAGCTTTTAGAGGTGGACGTCTGGTTCCTATCACCACCACTGTGAACAGTTCTGACTCAGTAAGTTTCTCTAGAACAGAGCGTTTCACACCAAACCATTCTGAACGACTCTGTTTACATCTCAACCATTTAATTAGGGAGAAATTTTGAAATCTGTATCCACTTTATGCACATCGCACTGGGTGGCTGCGCATATGATGGTCATTTATTTCCAGCTACAGCTTCAGTATCAGTGTTGCATTTTCCCAGTCATTAGCATTTAGGCTACGCTAAGCACTAGGAGAGTAAATGAAGAGTGAGTGAATGACCGTGGCTGGGCAGAGGAGTGCTCTGGCTTGAGCAATGAACTACACTCTTAAAAATGATGGTTCCTCAAGGGTTCTTTAGTAAAGGAAATGCTTCTCTACAGAACCATGAACACTCAAAGAACCCTTTGCATGATTTAAGTTCTTTGCATCATGAAAAAAGTTCTTCAGAATGTGCTGGAGATGGTTCTATAACGAACCTATACAGAGATGGTTCTATACAGAACATTTCTGAAAATGTGGAGAATCCGCTGTAGATGGTTCTATGCAGAACCTTTTTGAAAAGGGTTCTATACACTTTTTAAAAAGACAGGTCTTTAAGGGTTCTTTAGTAAAGAAAATAGTTCTATAAAGAATCATGAACACTCAAAGAACACTTTGCATGATTAAAGGGTTCTTTGCACATGAAAGAGTTCTTCAGAATGTGCTGGAGATGGTTCTATAACGAACCTATACAGAGATGGTTCTATATAGAACATTTCTGAAACACTGTTAAACTTGTAACAATAAAAGAACCCTTTTGGGTGCTATATAGAACACTATTCAAAAAAAGGTTCTATATAGAACCATCTACAGCGCATTCTTCATCAATCTGAAGAACGCTTTCACAATGCAAAGAACCCTTTAATCATGCAAAGGGTTCTTTGAGTGTTCATGGTTCTATACAGAACCATTTTCTATACTAAAGAACCCTTGGAGAACCATCTTTTTAAAGAGTCTCTAGCACCAAAAAGGGTTCTTCTGTTGTTACAATGTTAACCTTGTAAGAATTGAAGAACCCTTTCCAAAAAGGTTCTATATAGAACCATCTACAGCGCATTCTTCATCAATCTGAAGAACGCTTTCACGATGCAAAGAACGCTTTAATCATGCAAAGGGTTCTTTGAGTGCTCATGGCTCTATATAGAACCATAATTTTTAAGTGTACTCTTTCCTCTCCTGCTCCTGTTTAAAGGGCCTATTCTCCTTTTCCGGTTCTTTCCGTTCCTTTAGTGTGTTCTGTAGCTTTTTCCGCATGTAAACATTCTGCAAAGTCACAAAGCTCAAAGTTCCCTCCAGAGGGAGAAACTCTCTCCCACAGAAACCACTTTGGAATTCCCTTGTTGGAATTGCAGCCCTTTTCATTTGTCACATGATGACTCAATCTCGTAACAAAGTCCTTACTGCCCGCCTACCGGCCAGCTCGGCTCCCTCACACAGCACACAGCGGCTACTTGAGGAGGAGAAGTGTGTTCCGTGCTGTATCCGTGTGGAGAAGACGCTGACCGGACATTCAGGATCCACTCTGGATCAAACTGATACAGCAGAACCGACGCCACTGTAGAAACAGCCACAGCGGAGTTTACAGCTGCTCAGGAGAGAAGGGTCTGTCTGCAGACTGCAGGACAGGGGCGGAACCTGGAGGGGTGGAACCGCTCTGGAGGCCGACCGATTAGAACAGAATGGGCGAGCTGATCAATCAGAGCATACAGGGCTTGTCAGGAGGCGGGGCTTAAAGACATGTGAAATGAGTGTTTCAAACAGTAGAGCCCAAAAATAAAATTATGAACACTGAAAATGAGGGAAATAGGCTAAAACAGTGCAATTGAGCTCACAGACACACGTGCTGAGACGCACACACACACGTGCACACAGTCATAAGACTGTGAGATAAAACATAAACGACTCTGCAGACGGAAGTAGAACACGTTTCTTCAACCATTACTGTGTTAGCGAAGGCCAAGAGGGCAAAGCATTACATTCTTAATGGACAAATAAATCTGCTAATGTGCCTGATTATCACAGCAGCACAGAGACTTCAGCTCAAACACTGAAACAATTACCACACTTATATACACACTACTGAGGAAACACGAGAGAGAGAGAATGGGAGAGAGAGGGGGAGAGGAAGAGAAGAGAGAGAGCAAGAGAGAGTGAGTGAGTGAGACAGAGAGGGAGAGAGAGAGAAGTAGAGAGGAAAGAATAAAGAAAGAAAGAAAGAAAGAAAGAAAGAAAGAGAGGGGAGATAAAGAAAGAAAGAGGGTGAGAAAAAGAGAAGGAGAGAGAAAGAAGGGGAGAGGAAGAGAAAGAGAGAAGGAGAGAGCAAGAGAGGCATAGAGAGATAGAGAGAGGAGGGAGACGGGGGAGAGGGGAGAGAGAGAGAAAAGGAGAGAGAGAGAAGGGGGAGAGAGGGTGAGGAAGAGAAGGAGCGAGAGAGAGAGGGGGTGAGGAAGAGAAGAAGAGAGAGACAGAGAGAGAAAGAGAGAGAGAGAGAGAGAGAGAAGAGAGAGAGAGAGAGAGAGAAGGGGAAAAAGAGAAAGAGGGGAGAGAGGGAGAAAGAGGGGAGAGAAAGATAGAGGGAGAGAGAGGAAATAGAGACAGAGCAGGAGAGCGAGGAAAGAGAGAAGGAAGAGAGTATAGATAGAAAGAGAGGGTGAGAAAAAGAGAAAGAAGAGAGAGATGAAGACAGAGAGGGAGAGAGCATGAGGAGAAAGGAAGAGGAAGTTAATGAGAGAGGAGGAGGACAGAAAAGATGAGCAAAGGAGAGAAAAAGGAAAAAATAAGCGCAAGAGAAAAGGAGCAAGAGAGAAAGATACAGAGAGGAGACAGACAAAGAGGGAGTGAGTACAAGAGAAAAAGTGTGTGAGAGAGAGACAGGGATGACAAGGAGAGAGACAGAAAGAGAGCAAGGAGAGAAAGAGAAAAAGTGAGAGACAGAGATAAAGAGTGAGAGAGCAAGAGAGAGAGAAAAAAGTGAGAGAGGAGAGAGAAAGAAAAAAGAAAAACTGAGAGAAAGTGAGAGAGAAGAAGAGGAAGAGAGAGAGAGACAGAGAGAGAGTGTCAGACAGTCTACAGCCGCTGATCTATAGGTTTTTTCCTCTTTGTTCTTTAATGCATCCATCACTCTGTTCCTGCGGCTGTAAATCTGATCAGCTGTCGGTTCCGTCTCATCCTACAGTCCAGCGTCGGGGGCGGAGCCGGAACGTTTACAGTGGGGCGGCAAACGAATCAAACAGCAGTTAATAACGTTCTCCTGCGCTTATTATTACAAATAACGACAAATCTGAGCAGCTCAGGGTCTCCTGGCAACAACAACATATGGCAAGTAAATACTTTAGAATTTATAATTGTCCAAAATATGCATAATTTAAAAAATACACATAACTACCCTAAGGTTCTAAGCGGTTAAAAAGACGGTTCTGTAAGGGTTCTTAAGTAAAGACACTGGCTCTGCACTCAAAGAACCATGTGCACGCTTTGAAGGGTTCTTTGCATGATGAAATGGTTCTTCATATTGATAGAAAATGTTTTGTATACAGTTCTATACAGCAACAAAAAAGAGTTCTGATATGATTACAAGCTTGATATCGTCACAGTTGAAGCATGCATTTTGGTGCTATATGGAACCCTTTTCCAGAAGGTTCTGTATAGAACCATACTCTCCATCAATCTAAAGAACATTTCACCATGCAAAGAACCCTTTAAAGCATGCAAATGGTTCTTTGCATGTTGATTTCTCTGCTCCAGCACTCTAGGTGGCGCTATATAATTAGCTGAAGTTTCTGCTTGATGTTAACGTCAACCACCAAAAATATAATTGCTTGTTCATGCGTGTGTTAGCATATTAGGCTAATCATACACTTTATTTTCCTCTAAATCTTTAGTAAACTGCCCTCCTGGATGAGGAAGTTTGTGCCCATGATCTTCTACGTGACGGAAAAGGCCTGGAACTTCTACCCCTACACCGTCACAGGTGAGCTCCACCAAGTACATCGCCTAAAACATGGATAAGCCAGTGTTACACACACTCTTAAAAAGAATGGTGCTTCAAGGGTTCTTTAGTATTCATAAACGCGTTATAAGGTTAGTCTTATTCTAATGTTTTACCAAAGGTCCAAGAGTGGGCCTCAGGACTGCGTTACCCAGCGAAGTCTCAGAAAAACGTGGACCACCTATGTGAAAGTTGTTGTTAGTACAAAGGTAATAGACTTGTTGTGGTACTGTAGGAAAATACAGCTATGGTGTTTTTCCACCACTTGGCTCGACTTGACTCGACCCGACTCGACTCGCTTTTGGTACCAGCTACTTCATTTTCCACTGCAGATATAGCGCCCTCTCAGTATTGGAGACAAATATTGTTCAGAAGATAAAAGACTGCTGAAAAAAAAACAGGAGAGTTTGAGAAATACTACACCAGAGTTCAGACGATGAGACGATTCTGGTTGCTCAATAGCGACCAAAGACGCTACGCTAACCTGTTGGCTACCGCTAGAATGTGTGTTTAGGGCAAGGGACGGCAACATGCGGCTCTTTTACTGTCCTGTTGTGGCTCCATAGCAGAATTAGATTTGTAGGTAAAAATAAAATAATCCTCCTTTACAGTAAAATAAAGCTCTGCTGATCGTTCAACACAGTTTAACGATAAATGGTCTTAAACACTGGGGTTAATATAGAACTGCTAATTCACCCTTTAACCCTGAAGATCAGCGCAGACTGCTGGTCACCATAGCAACGCAGACAACAGTGTCGCCTAGCTAGTAGCTCACGAAAAGGCAAAATAAGAGAAGGATTTAAAACGAACAACAATAATTTGGAGATGAATGGACTTATTTGCATTTATAACCACTCCAGCTGGTTTCCTGATATGTTTAATCTGCAACGAGAAACTGTCAAACACTAAAAGTCAGCTTGTCATTCGCCAGCTTCCTGTTTGAATTTTCCCGTTCCACCTTAAATGGTGCAGCAGCTCCATTCTGGTGCCTCAGGCACCTTTTAAGGTGGAACAAGAATATTAGAACAAGAAGCTGGCGAATGAGAAGCGACTCCAGCCTCATAAAAAGTCGAATTTTGAGAGATGTTTTACAAGAAGCTATGGAAAAGTTTCCTGCTGGAGATCTGAGAAAAGAAGCTATAGCTGAGCTAAAGATTAAAGCGGAGCAAAGTAAGTCTGGATTTCCATTTATATTACATTTTTTAGCCTACGCTAGGACATTAGCACATATGGAGACATATTTACAGCCAACATGGTAAAACATTACTTCAATAAAATGGACATAAAATGTTGTGGCTTGTGGTTGTGGTTGTGACCAATCAGCAGTCTGCAGCTTTTTTGTCACCTTTTGGTATTGACTCAACTCGCTTGGAACCTCGACAGAAACAGTACCAGGTACGCCTCATGAAGAGCCAAAAAAAGGCCAGTAGAGTCAAGTGAGTCGAACTCTACAATGCAGTGTTACAGCAGCTTTAGATGTGAGTCGACGCAAATTAGCATTTTTCCATTTACAGACCAAAATCGTCATTTCTGCCTGTTGTGTCTCGCCTTAATGTGGGAATTTTACGAGTGCACATTTGTCACAATAATTCAGTTTGATTGTGAATCTTTATGAAACGATTCAGTGCATCATGAAATGTCACATTTCACCACTTTCGACTATTTTGGTACGAGTTACTGTTTAAAAACACACTGTATACACAGCTTTAGGAAGAATCCATCTGTTTGCTCCATGGGTGGGAACTACTGCACTGTGGATTCCTGCACAGTTTGCTGATTTACCTGCTCAAACACACCTGATGCAACACAGCAGTTAATTACCAGGTTCAGTTGTTGCATCAGAGCAGAGAAATCAGTGAACTGTGCTGGACTCCGACCTTCGGCTCCCCTCACCTCACTTACACAGCAGTAAAATACAGATAGTTAAACAACACACCATCCTTTTTATACTGAATTATTTATGTTTTTTCTTTGGAAAACTGCCTGAGAATTTTATTCTCGCTAAAAAATAAATGTGTGCAGTGGATCATAACTGGTTTCTTGCTGTAAGCGTTTTTCAGTATGAACTTTATTCAATATCAAAATGAAATAACCATCCATTATTTTTCCATTCTTATATATAAAAGATTATGATTGGGGCCTGTAAATGTTCAGAACCACAACTGATTAGAGCATTCCAAAATCAGACCAGATCAGCGCATTACAGAATACATTCATACTGTACTGGTCAGAGACCCTTTATTTATTACATTTGCTGTCAAAACAGCCACAAGTTATTCATTTTCCAGGAGATGTTACCAGGGAGATTAGATATAAGACAATCCACCTGTATAAGGAAGGAGAACGTCAAAGGAAAATGAGTGAAAAACACAAGAGTTTCCAAAACTGGAGTTCAAAAAGCTGATTACAGAGAAAATGGGGCTCCTAACAACCACCTGGAAGACCTGGTAGACACCAAAACTGCCCCCATCAGATAAACAGCACTTAAAGCTTTCATCTCTGAGAGAGAGGAGAAAATCAAACTGCTTCAGATCTGAAAACATCCAGATCCTTCCTTCCACTGTGAGAAGACGACTCAGCGCTGTGGGTCTGAAAGGATGTGTAGCTGTCAAGAAGAACCTCACTGAGAAAAGGAGACGGACACATCAAACAAAGAAGCTGAACAATGGACTGACCGCCCCAGAGTCCAGACCTTAACATCACTGAATGTGTTTGAATACTTCAGAAAATGATCAACCAGCTTCTAAGACTGAACTTTGGAGGTGTGTCTGCGGATTCTTTGAGGAACTGAAAGTGAGTCTCCTAAAAAGAACGGACAGAAAGAGTGGACACAGTGAATACTGAAAGATATGATATTTAGTGCGTTACTGAAAAACGAATATGAATATCTTGTATTTAATGGCCATTTTGACTGGAAATTAAATATATGAATGGCTGCCTCTGACCAGTTTCTAAAGCTTGACTTTTAATCCATAGTCGTAACTCTCTCTCCTCTCTCTTTCTTTTCCACGTCTGCTGCTGCTTTTATTGCTGCAGAGTATTCAGTAAGTATCCCAACACATCAACTCTGACACTCATGCAGTCTTCATTCTCAGGCTGTCTGAACGTACACTGTACACAACGTACACAATGTACACTCAATCTTTTTCTCTCTCTCTCTTCCTCTCCCTCTCGCTCTATCCAGTGCTCCTTCCTTCCTAAGCTGCAGGTCAAGATTGAGACGCGCTTTGAGAATGACAACGGCAGCAACGAGAACGTGAGTAGAGCCGCTAATCCTCTTAAAGCACGGCTACCTCTCCACCAGCTCGCCGCGCCCTCAGTGTCCTTGTGACAGCCTGCGTACTTCTCCTACGGCTACCCGATACGGCCAAAAATCTTATCACGATATTTATTTTTCTATATCATTCAATACTGATGGTTACCTCACGTCTGCTGATACGTCAGCTCAGTGTTGGACCAGGGACCAGCTGCAAAAAAACTGAGACAGTCTTAACTGCTAAGTCAGTCATAGCCAGAGAAATTATAAAGGAGGAGGAGACGGGTTGAAAAACAAGTGGGAAAGATTGCAATGCTCAACATAACGTGTTTACCTTGAGTGCTGCATCCCCCAATAAAAGAAAACCAGTCGGCTTGCAGGGAAGACTGCAAGTGGGTAGAGTGCAGCCTGAACAACAACAATTATTTGAGCCAAACGCTATAAAACAGTGGTTTTTAACCTGTGGACCGAGGCCCCCTATTGGGCTGCAGTGATACTGCTAGAGGGCTGCAAATGTTTTTTTAAACACATTTTTTTTTAAATGTAGATATGTAAACAGATGTATTTTAAATATAACTAACTATTTGCGAAAATAGATGATATTTAGGTCGACTTCATTTATTAGTTTGGCAAAATGTTTACATTTTCAGTGCATGTCAAGGTAAAATGATTCTCTTTATTATTTCATTCATATGAAATCTATCCATCATGGATAAGTGGTTACAAGCAGGGTCTTTCAGAAGGACCCTTAGGAGGGGCCATCTACAGGTGAAACAGCCACCGCATCTAAGACTAAGGAATACAGCTGTTGTCACATTTTGGGTTTATTAATAGACCACACGTTTTTAAAAGAAGACAGTTGTGGACTGCAGGCAGGTCAGTCTAGTTTTAGCCCAGAGAAGTCAGAGGAGTTGGGTGAGGTGTTAAGCGAGGGGAAACTAAAATAAGTGAGGTAACATGGAGTTAGAGCGAGAGAGAGAGAGAGAGAGAGAGAAAGAGAGAGAGCAGAGCTCGGGTGTAGAGTGTGAAGTCATTTGCGCCGAGGCGTGCGGGGGGTGTTGGGGGGGTGTAGGTGAGTAAAGCAGGTTTTGTTTGTGTTGAGGTTTGTTTGGGTGCAGTGAGCGGCAGAGAACCGGCTGCAGCTTTAATGCCCTCTCTCATTAAAGACATTCAAATCAGACCCTGAACGAGTCACGGCCTGATACTGCTCCAGATCCCACAACCACAACCCCCCACACCTCCCCCCAACAACCTGCTCCCACCTCTCTCTCTCTCTCTCTCACACACACACAGCACAGACAGAAACACAAGGAATAAAATACACACTAAAGTGTCAATACACCAGACAAGAGCGAGAACAAACACTGAAACAGCACTGCAGAGAGAGAGAGAGAGAGAGAGAGAGAGAGAGAAAGAGAGAGAGAGACAGTGAGAAAGACAGAGAGAATGAAAGAGACAGTGAGAGAGAGAGAGAGAGAGAGACGATAAGAGAGAGACACACAATGAGAGAAACCAGATCAGCGAGAGAGAATGAAAGAGACAGGAAGAAAAAGAGAGAGAAAATGAGAGAGAGAGACAATGAGAGAGACCAGCTCAGAGAGAGAGAGAGAATCAAAGAGACAGTGAGAAAATGAGAGAATAACAGAAATAGACAATGAGAGAGACCAGATCAGAGAGAGAGAGAAAGAGAGAGAGAGAGAGAAAGACTCTTAGTTTTAGAGTATATTATAGTTTAGAGTATAATGAGAGTGACTGAGTAATACTGAGAGACACTGAGTAATAAAGAGAAAGAGACACTGAGTGATAATGAGAGAGAGACACTTAGTGATAATAAGAGACACTGAGTGATAATGAGAGAGACACTGAGTGATAATGAGAGAGACACTAAGTAAAAATGAGATATTGAATGACAATGAGAGAGAGAGAGAGAGACTGAGTAATAATGAGGGAGAGACACAGGGATAATGAGAGAAAGAGAGAGATACTGAGTGACAATGAGAGACAGAGAGACACTGAGTGATGAGAGAGACACTAAGTGATAATGTGAGAGAGACAGTAATAATGAGATACTGAGTGACAATGAGAGACAGAAACACTGAGTAATAATGAGAGAGACACTGAGTTATGAGAGAGATACTGAGTGATAATGAGAGAGAGAGAGACACTGAGTGATAATGAGAGAGAGACACTAAGTGATAATGAGAGAGACACAGTAATAATGAGATACTGAGTGACAATGAGAGACAGAGTGACACTGAGTGATAATGAGAGAGAGAGAGACACTGAGTGATAATGAGAGAGAGACACTAAGTGATAATGTGAGAGAGACAGTAATAATGAGATACTGAGTGACAATGAGAGACAGAGAGAAACACAGTGATAATGAGAGAGACACTGAGTGATAATGAGAGAGAGAGAGACACTGAGTGATAATGAGAGACAGAGAGATACTGAGTGACAATGAGAGACAGAGAGAGACACTGAGTGATAATGAGAGACACTGAGTGATAATGTGAGAGAGACACAGTAATAATGAGATACTGAGTGACAATGAGAGACAGAGAGAGACACTGAGTGATAATGAGAGAGAGAGACACTGAGTGATAATGAGAGAGAGAGAGACACTGAGTGATAATGAGAGAGAGAGACACTGAGTGATAATGAGAGAGAGAGACACTGAGTGATAATGAGAGAGAGAATATAGTGAGAGAGCTGGGGGGATAAAGCAGAAAAGCAGGATGAAGGAATGAGCGGAGAGATGAAGTCAGAGGGCAGTGGAGGGACTGATACTCAGCGGCTGACAGTCCAGCAGTCAGTGATGATACAATCCCACACCGCTCGCTTTTTCATCCCATCCCGCGCTCCTCTCTTTCATCCCGCCTGTACTGCTTTAAAACACACGCTTCCGCTCCCTCGGCGTGTTTCTCAGGATTGCGCGATGTTCAGACTCGGAGTGTCGCGCGTTACAGCGTGTTACCACGCGCTGACCCTCCCGAGTCTCTCTCTCTCTCTGTACTTCACCTCGAACGAATGAAGAATGACCCAAACCTGACGATACAGGAAGTGAACGTGGCTCACTGTGTGAGAATCAGTGATGGAGTAATGTGAATTAGTGTAAACTGTAGCAGACTGACTGTAACGGCCCCAGGCTTCAGGCTGACTATAAGGAGTTATCGTTGATTAGCTTTGATTGTTTACAGTTTTATCTTCTGTCTCGGCGGCTCTCTGTGGCGTCTCTCTGTGGTGTCTCTCTGTGGCGTCTCTCTGTGGCGTCTCGCGTGTGACGCACCTGTGGATTCAGGTGTGCTTTTTGTTTTGCAAATTTGTAATGACTCAGAAAAGCAAATGTCCTCCAGACGTCTACAGAGCGAGTCGGCAGTTAGCACAGTGCTAACTGCTAACAAGCTTACCATGAACCATGAACACTCCAAGAACCCTTTGCATGATTAAAGGGAGCTTTGCATCACAAAAAGGTTCTGCAGCTTGATGGAGAACATATAGAACCATTTTGAAAAGGGCTCTATATAGCACTAAAAAGGGTTTTGCTATTGTTACGATGAACTTGTAACAACAGAAGAACCCTTTTTGGTGCTACATAGAACGATTTTCAAATAGATTCTATATAGAACCACCTATAGCAGTTTCTCAGTCAATCAGAAGAACCCTTTAATCATGCTCTCTGAATGTTCATGTAAAACCATTGTCTTTGCATAGAACTCTCAAGGAACCATCTTTTTTAAGAGTGTATAGCCGTTTCATGATTAAATGGTTCTTTGCATGGTGAAATAGTACTTCAGTGTTGTATCTTGTTCTATATAGAACCGTTTTGAAAAAGGTTCTACATAGCACCAAAAAGGGCTCTGCTATTGTTCCGATTTCAAGCTGGTAACAATTGAAGAACGCTTTTTGGTGCTATGTTGCTGCTGTTGGAACAAAACCTTGTTTATCCAAAATGGTAACTTTACAGGAGAAGGAAAAAACCTACTTCACTTTTAATGTAAGTCAATGGAACCAGACTTTTTCCACGTCATTTTGGGTCGTTTCTTTTGTTCCATTCATCATGAAATTTACATACAATGTAAAGGGCAGCAGGCATTTTCAAATTATGTCAAAACCTGAAAAACGATAATGGAGATACAAGGTTTTGTTCCGACAGCAGCGAAATAGAAACATATAAAAAAAGCCTAAATACTGTAAAAATGCCTAAATGAGGTGAAAATATTTATTGATGAAAGAGACTTTTCCACTGAGTGATGACGTAGCAGGAATGAAAGTCACTTGTTTCCACTCCCTCTGATGATAGCAGATAAAAATCGCAGCGGCAGAACGTTGATTTTTTCAGAAAAACGGGCTCTGAATGGTCAGAGTAGAACCTCTTCATGCACACCAGCTCCTGAAGTTTGATGGAAAGGCACTATTACCAACATTAGCATGTGTTCAAAACACTCTTAGGATTAAACAGTGACTAGCACCATCACCTCAGACACGGGCAGCAATGGCAGTATCTGCCCACCATAGCCATATGGTTGGCGGTTCTGCTATGAGGTGCGGAACGGCACTAACATGTAAATGCAGCATTAAACCTACAGCGATTAAGAGCGCTAATAAAAGCTCCATGGGTTGTCTCACATTGTGCAGCGTAAACATGTGACGTTATCTTCAGGCTCATAATGGTAGTTGATCAGTTTGCATTTTCTTTTACCAACATTTCAAATGTTTGCTTCAAATTTGAGAAATATTTGAATGGAAACCCTGTAAATGACAGAATTACATGGGCGTAGCTAGAACCCTTAGTGTGGGGTGGCCAGGGAAGCCCCAGATTTTATTAGGGTGGCACAATGATGTCATGTATTTTAGCAATTCCAAATAAAATTTTGGTGGTTAGTTCGCCTTGACAGAACTGCGTGGTCAGGAGAGGGACAAAACATTGTGGTTGCGGGCGGGTGATGATTCTGATTTTCTGCGGGAGCGGGAAGAAATTTTGCGGGAGCAGGACTGAAAAACAATCCCGTGCAGACCTCTAATGTAAACACAGCCAATGGCAGATTTTCACCATAAAGCATAACTGATGCTTTATTGATGATGGCTGGCTGATAATGGCTGACCATCTCACTTTCACTAACTGGGGTGGCCAGGGGGACGGCTATCCTTCACCCTAGGGTGGCACCCTTTGGCTCCGCCTCTGTTGAATTATGCAGAAATTTTGAACATTTCCCCTTTTAAGTGCTTGTGATGCTCTGTAGTAGACTGTGTTTGTGTGTTGACCGCTCTCACTGGTGTGTCCTGCGCAGGTGTTTGGAGACGGCCCCACTCCCCGAGACAGCGTCTGCTTCTTAGACATACTGAGCGATCCAATTCCGGACAAACACTACAAAAAAACAGAGGTACGCACACATATCAGTTCAGTCTGTCAGTCTCCTGAGAAGGTCCTGCTGCTTCAGAGCCGAGGCAGGGAACAGATCTAAAGGGCAAACACTCAAATGAGGTAGTAAACCACACACACACACACACACACACACACACACACACACACACACACAAACTCACACACACACAAGATTAGGCAGAAATGTTCTATCAGCGGGATCACAATCTCGCAGAGATGCACTTACAGTACAGAATGTAATCTCTTTCTCTCGCTCACACACACACTGCGTCGTGCACACGCAGCAGGTAATATGTGACTGTTTAACCCTGAAGGACCTGAGCAGCTGGGTGTCCAAGAGGACGGGCCGGGGCCCCCTGGTGGACGGCTGGAGGAACAGCGCCAGGCCCATCATGTGCTCCTACAAGAGAGTGCAGTGCAGTTTCGAGGTTTATGGCTTCCAGAGCAGGACAGAGGAGTTCATCCACAGGGTGGGAACATTACAAACTACACTACCCACAATCCATCTGTCTGAGAACACTACGTCATCTGTATGCACATTTTAGTGTTGCCACCGCGGGTGCTTTCCTGCTAAATTGGCTAGTTAACTAACATCTGACTTGGGAATTAGTCCACTTCTATACCATACGTTCTTAAAAAAGTAGGTTCTTCAGGGGTTCTTTAGTAAATATAATAGTTCTGTATAGAACCATGAACACTCAAAGAATCATGTGCATGCTTTCTTCATATGGATGAAGAATGTGCTGAATATCATTCTATATAGAACCTTTTTTAAAAGGGTTCTATTCAGCACCAAAATGGGTTGTTCTATTTTTGATAGTTACAAGCTTGACACTGTAACAATAGAAGAACACTTTTTGGTGCTATATAGAACCACCTTCAAAAAGGTTCTTTTCAAAAAGGTTGTACATAGAACCATATACAACACATTCTTGATCCATCTGAAGAACCATATTACCATGCACTGTTAGAAATAAAGGTTCCGTGCAGGTACATTTTTCATTCATTAAGGTACAAACACTGTAAACGTTCCCTCAAAGGTACAACAGTAGTTTTAAGGTCCGATTGTGAACCTTAAGTTTTTCCAGGTGAAAAGTTCGTATTTGAACCTTTTCATAACCTTATGTTTTAACCCTTGTGTGGTGCTGATGTGTTTGTTACTCAGTGGTCTGGTGGACCCCCCGCATTATTGTTTTTTTAAAATCAATACAGCCATAACAATTTATCACTGCTGACAGAACAAAACTTCGTATCTCCAAAATTATAACTTTACAGGAGAAGGAAAAAACTAGTTTACTTTTAATGGTAGTCAATGGAACCAGACTTTTTTCCAAGTAATTTTGGGCCATTTCTTTTGATCCATTCATCATAAAATTTACACACAATGTAAGGCCAAGAGGCATTTTCAGATTATGTCAAAAACTGAAAAATACAAGATTTTGTTCCGACAGCAGCGTTACGTAAAAATACCAGATGTTTAAAATATCACAAGTGGCGAGCATAGAGTTCTCCTTTAGCAGCTGTAGCCAGTCAGCAGCCTGTCCATGTTGTCCACCCTCACACACACACACACACACACACACACACACACACATATACGAACACATACACACACAGAAACACACATACTAACAGCAGGCCATGTAGGAGGAGAACAGAGTGAAGGACACAGCACCTCCACACTTTTACTCCCGCAGGTTCACCCAACACCACATGTGTAATATAAATGTGTGGGGGGTGAACAGAGTGAAGACACTGAAAATGGGTTATTTTATATGTTCCTCACAGAAAATGAGCTAAAACCAAGGAATATGAGGTTGAAATAATAATAAATTGCATCATTTTTTCTTTTGGTACACACTGAAAATGGGTACCACAGACCTGAACACCACACAAGGGTTAAAACAGAACAGTAAAATAAAAGCCTGGAGACGAGACGGGGTGTGTGGAGTCAATACAGCTTAGAAAATATAATTTCAATAGATTATGGTACAGTTATGTTCCCTGACTAAAGGTACTGAGATGTACCCTTGTGGGTACCACCCCAGTAATAAGAGGGGTCCTGCCCCAGTGACAGTTTACTACCTTTTTCTCTGAGAGTGTGCAAAAAACCTTTTAAGCATGCAAATGGTTCTTAGAGTGTTCATAATTCTATACAGAACCATTGTCTTTACTAAAAACCTTTGAAGAACCATCTTTTTCAAGACTGTAGCACCTAGAGCACCTACATAAGCTAAATTTCGCAAACTGAGGAGATCCACCATCTTCAAATTCCAATTTCACACTTGATTACCCTGCTGGAAAACCAGCATAGACCAGCATGGCTGGCCACCAGAAAAAAAACAGCATGTGTTGTGTTTTGGATGCTGATATGCTGGTCAACCAGCATGACCATGCGGGGTGACTATCTAAAACAGCACCAGACCAGCATAAACCAGCATGGAATTTTTGACAGCAGGGTAGAGTGAGGAGAACACCACAATATGCAGGCCCAGGACTGTGGAGTCGCTGTACGTTACAGTGTTGTGCTGTTTGATTTTCCTCACAGAACATTCGGGACATCCTGCTGGTGGGACACAGGCAAGCAGTGGCATGGACAGACGAGTGGCATGGTGATTATGAAGCTTTAGAATGCTTCTTTAACGCTTTCATAAAGCACACATTTGAAATCTGAACCCTTGGGAGGAGGGACGCGGGAAGATGTTTTAAGCAGGGGTGCTGACATTTTAATCCACAAATAATGACGTAAAAATTATTTGTCCTTTTTAATTAGATTTTGTTTTTATTTACATCAAACAGGACGTGTCAGATTGCGCTATAATGAGAGACGAAAATACATACACATAACTGACACATCAGAGTGCTGATCCACATCCTCTCTTTGCTCTTTTGTTCTGGAAGAACATTATGCAAATGAACTGAGCGGCAACCAATCAGACTGTATTGGATATAACGGTTGATGAAAACTTAGATTACTATTTTTTTAAGTATGTGTGTTTTAGTGAAGCGTCCCCAAAGCGTCCAACAGTTTTGAAGGGAAGTGATTCAGCTCATTGTAATGGAAATGCAGGTTACTGCAGATTTTAAATAACTCCCTCTGACTGGACTGACCACCCCAGAATCCTCAACACCACTGAATGTGTTTGATTACTTCAGAAAATGATCAACCAGCTTCTAAGACTGAACTTTGGAGGTGTGTCTGCAGATTCTTTGAGGAACTGAAAGTGAGTCTCCTGAAAAGAATGGAAGCTGAAATAAAGGGAAAGAGTGACTCACTGAACACTGAGAAGTCTCACATTATACTTAGTGTAGTTTATGATTTCCTGACGCTGAAAAATGAATTACTTGTACTTAACGGCCGTTTTGACTGGAAATTAAATGTGTGAAGGTGGTTTCTGACTTTTGCCCCGCACTTTTCATGTGTCATGTGACCTGCTAACATAGCTGCAGTGCACACCAAAAGAACAGGGCTTTGAATGTACTTTATTTAATGTAAGCACTGGTTCCACATGAATAAAACTGTATTACGTCAACACAACCGAAAGTGACCGTCACGTGGAACCAAGACATATTTGCACAAAGAACAGTCAACATCCTATTGTCTGAATGAATAACGTCCGTTTGGCAGGGATGAGTCTGGAGGAAGTGAGAGAGTTCGAGAGGAAGCTGCAGCAGGAGACCAACAGCAAGCTGAAGTGCGACAGGACCGACTCAGGTAACACCTCAGACGTCTTAACACAAGAGCACAGAGATCCGGGTGGCGGGGGGAAGGGGGTGAAGGGGAAGATGACTGAGAGCAGCAGTGACAGAGGGATGAAGAGAGGATCAGGGAGAAGGGGAGACAGATTTTGAGAAAGGGATAAAGGTGAAGACAATGGGTGAAAGGACAACATGTAAAGATATGGAAATGAGGAGGCGGCCACTGGAGGACAGAGTTTTAAAGGCATAGTTTGATGGAAAATCATATGTATACAGTTCCCCTCATTAAGTTTGTTTAGTTAGTTTCACGCCGGAGCTACGAGGCTAAAGTAGTGAACAAGTAACGGAAGCTTATATCCTACAGGGAGACGATATAATTATTATTAGTTAACAAACGTATATGGCCTGACTGGGGCTAGCTGGTTTCACCCTTTGTACCTTAACCATCAAGCCACTAGAGGTTGTGTGTTACTGCAACTGTATCACGGGGAAGGGTGTTGTTAGGCATGAAGCAAAGTGAAGTAAAACTCCCTTTCCCGTGATAAAATCACTATAATGTACGGCCTCAAGTGGCTTCTTGCTTTTACAAAATGGCGGTCAACAAAAAACATGATAAAACACAGTTTTTCAGAAAATAACTGAGGTTATTATTAATAATAATCAACATAAACAAGTATTCTGCCAAGAAATGTAGTTCATTTAGTCCATCAGCCTCTGATTGGTCGACAAGTCAGGAATACAGCCTCTGATTGGTCAACAAGTCACACAGCCTCTGACTGGTCAACGAGTCAGGAACACAGCATCTGATTGGTCGACGAGTCAGGAACACAGCTTCTGACTGTCAAGCTTGTAACAATAGCAGAACCCTTTTTGGTGTTATATAGAACTACATACAAATATTCTACATCAAGTTGAAGAACCACTTTACCATGTAAAGAACCATTTAAGCATGCAAATAGTTTTTGAGTGTTCATAGTTCTATACAGAACCGTTTCTTTACTTAAGAACCCTTGACGAATCATCATCTTTAAGAGTGTAGCTAACTGTTAACCAGGAGATCACTAAGTTGTGCTACCGGAATGAGTTTCGCTCTTGCACTCTCATATGTACAGTTCAAAAATGACCCTCGGTTGTTTCCGAGTGGCACAACCATCTAAGCGCTGGCTCTGTCATCAGGAGATCGTGAGTTTGATCCCTGGTGATGCTATAGCTATCCGTGGCCGGGAATTCAAGAAAGCACAATTAGACTCACTCTCTCTGGGTGGGTAGGATGGCCCCTCCTTCTCCCCCCATCACTCGACACAATGCTAGTCAGTGCAGGCATACGTTAGCTGACATAACAGATCTGGCGGTTGGCGCTTCCCTCCAATGACGTTGCGTTAGTGGCAGTTCAAAAACATGCAGTGTCACTTCACAGGTCTCGGAGGAGGTCTGTGTTAGCCTACCCCTCCTAGCACTGGTGGTATCGTGTAATTGGGGGAGTCCTAACTAGTGGGTGGAATTGGATATGACTAATCTGGGGAGAAAATAGGAGGGAAAATCTAAAAACGGAAAAAAAACAGAAGAAAAGGATCCTTGAGTTGAATTAAAAATGCACCTAGATGTGATTTGTGGCAACAGGCGTCTAATGGTAATAAAGAAATCCTGACTTCCAGCATTGCCACTGATAACTCACTCTCACCTTCAAGATACATCATCAGAAGGGGGTTCCTAGTCTTTATACCAGAAAATCTCTATAGAGAATATTATGGCACCACTGTAGGAGGTGAGTAGGCATGTTTACCACAGCTATAGCAATGTTTAATGTTTAATTTTGGCTGGAGCGCTCCTTTAAGAGAGCAGTCCTGTTTACCTGGATGTACTGCTGAACAGTACATGAAAAAAATTGCGCTCAGATATTTTAATCGCATGTGGCAGAACTGTATGACAGTGTTATCTGTAAAAATAGAGCACAGATTTCTATTAATAGAGATAAAAGTATTGTCGTGTGGGGGGGTACACAGAAGAAACTCGGAGTTCGTGCCCATGTGCAGCTTTATTTAGAACTGATTCGGCAGCCGAATAATAATACAAGAGAGGAAAACGGCTCTTATTTCCAGAGGGAGGAAATATGCTCTTTTAAACCTTTAACTGCTACAGAATCCTGCCGAGGGTAATGAATCTGGACCCAAACCTGGATGACGGGAGCTCACGTCCCAAACACAGTACCTACCTGAACTGCTCCAAAGCTCACATAAACCACAAACAATCCTTTGCTAACTGTTTTAAGAACTCTTAAGAACTAAATAGAGCCCGGCTAAGCACTAGCAAAGCATCATGGGAACCAAAGCATGCTCTGACATCACAGTATTGTTGTTTGATAAGTACATATCCAATTCCACCCACTAGTTAAGACTCCCCCAATCAAGGGGCTCCCGAGTGGCGCAACCGTCTAAGCATTGGCGCTGACATCAGGAGATCGCAAGTTTGATCCCTGGTGATGCTACAGCCATCCGTGAGTCCAAGGCAGCACAATTGGCCTCGCTCTCTGGGTGGGTAGGATGGCCCCCCGGTCTCCTCCCATCACTCGAATGCGATGCTAGTCAGCGCAGGTGTCTGTTAGCTGACGTAACAGAACTGGTGGTTGGCACTTTCCTCCGAACGCATTCGGCTGTCCAATGACGTTGCGTGAGCAGCAGTCCGAAAAGAAGCGGTGACGCTTCACAGGCCTCGGAGGAAGCCTGTGTTAGCCTTCGCCCTCCTAGCACCCGAAGTATTGTGTGACTGGGGGAGTCCTAACTAGTGGGTAGAATTGGAGACGACTAAATTGGGAAAAATCCCCCCCCCCAAAAAAGACTCCCCCAATCACACGATATCACCAGTGCTAGGACGGTGAAAGCCAACACAGGCTGCCTAGATCTATTATGTCAGCCTTGCACGCCTGCACTGGCTAGCGTCACACAGGGTGATGGGGGGCCATCCTACCCACCCAGGGAGCGAGGCCAACTGTGCTCTCTGGCTGTAGCATCACCAGGGGTCAAACTCACTGATGATAGGACTAACACTTGGACCGTGGCACCACTCGGGAGCCACCATGTGGTGTATTTTCATCCATGTTTGTAGATACCGTATCAGTTTTAGGAAAGTGTGTGATGACTGAGGTGTGCAGTGAGCACTGTGGTGTACATTAGCTTGCATTACATGTTAGCTACATTAGCTTTGTAGCTCCAGTGCAAAACTAATGAAGCAAAATTCAGACACCAACCATGTCTTGCCTGGTTGACTGTATTTGGGCTAAAGAGGAGCAAATATGTAATTTTTTTTTTTTGCTGAACTGTCCCTTTAACTGCTGTCAGGCATGTGTGGTGTGATGATACAGCGGCAGTTGTAGTGATGAACAGTGTGATGCAGTTTCACCCCCGTCCCTCACACAAGCTGCATAAATCATCCTCCCACGCTATGCTATGCTAATGACACTGTTTGTGTGCATGTGTGTGTGTGTGTGTGTGTGTGTGTGTGTGTAGGGTTTTCATGCCTCCCACTGCCCTCTGTTAGTGAAAGTGCAACAGTGCACAGTGCTAATGATATCTCTGACAGCAATTACAGGGCGGTCAGCGGCGTCCCGCCACTTTGAGCTCATGATGAAAACCATTATGCCCTCGTCCAGCAGCAGGCAGCGTTTTAACCCCAAGCACTAGCACCCCTTCAGGGGGAACGGTGCCACTGCTGCTCTCTCAACAGCACATGCTGCTGCCTCTTGAGTGCTGCGCTGGGGCTTTGAAGCTAATGTAGCTGACTTACTGTCACTGTTGTGACTAAAACTGAAATCTGAAACGGAAATTTTATAAAAGATGGAAGTTTCTTAACTGTAATGTAAATTTAATTCATGATTTGGATCATTTCTGTTAGTCCAATCGCATGAAATGTAATTATAATGTTTTGCTAACACATCGACAATATAGTGTAATCTATAAAAATCGACAAAAGTATGAATTAAAGCCTCAAATTGAGGCTTGCAGATGCTCTCATTTTTATACATTAGGTAACAGTACAGGTTAGCTATATTAGCCTCAATGTTCAGTAGGTCATACAGTGTCAGAAACCATATGCAAGTCTATTTGGGATTATTTAACAACTCAACATGGTTTGTGGCAAGTGTGTTCTGATTTATCACACATTTCACTGAATATTTCACTTCACGTTTTCAGTGGATCTTAAAAAAGGTTAATTCAAAGCGCTAGTTATCGAGGTAATTAGCAAGCGCTGGTATCTACCACACACTTACCTACAAGCTTTCAAAAACGTTTTACTGGCAGTAACAAAATAATTGTTTTTTTGATGTTGTTTGCCACATTTCTGAGGAAAATGGGCTGGTTTAGCACACAAGCAAATCTGTGTGAGATTACTCAACAACTCAACGCGGTTTGAGCACATTTTACTTCACATTTTCAGTGGATAAGCGCTAGTTAGCGAGGTAGTTAGCAACCTGGCACTCACATCTACCAAAATTAATTTACAAACCGTCACAGTGTAAAAGTGTTAAAAACATTTTTCGATCTGTAACAAAATAAAATATATTTTTAAAAATGTGTTTGTCTTTTATCTTTGGAAAATGCAAGTCAGCCATGTTAGCCTCATAGCTCCAGAGCAAGTCCAGTATGTTATACAGTTTCAGAAACTGCTGTCTATTTGAGACTAACTACTCAACATGGTTTAAAGCAAGTGTGGCACATTTCAGACATTTTACTTCACATTTTCATTGGATATTTAAAAATGATAATTCACAGTGCTAGTCATCATTGAGTAAAAGTGTTAAAACATTCCTTTTACATACATATATATGTTCTTTTGACATCACTTGTCAAAAGAAAACCTCGTATCTCAATTTTTGATGTTTTTCAGTTTTTGACATTATTTGAAAAAACCTGTTGCCCTTTACATTGTATGTAATGACGAATGGACTAAAAGAAACAACCCAAAATGACTTGGAAAAAAGTCTGGTTCCATTGACTTACATTAAAAGGAAAGTAGGTTTTTTCCTTCTCTTGTAAAGTTACCATTTTGGAGATACAAGGTTTTCTTCCGACAACAGCAATATATATACATATATATTCTCCTAGGGAAAATGGGCTATTACTTAGCTACATTAGCCTCCAAATGTCACACAATGAGAGAAACCATTTAAGCCTATTTGAGATTACTGAACAACGCCACATGGTTTGATGCAAGTGTGACACATTTGATGAAACATTTCACCTCCCATTTTCAATGGAAGCGCTAGTTAACAAGGTTGTTAGCAACCTGTCACTTATATCTATCTATCACAAATCGATGTACAGAATGTTAAAAACTAATATTTTGTTGAGAATAACAAAATAATATCATGAAAATGTGCTAGGTAGAGGGGCGAAATGAGGTTAGGGACCGGAGGTACGCATATGACACGGATTTGTAAAAAAGCAGAACATTGTTGTCAATGTAAAGTGATTTTCGAGTCAAATTTTTCCTCCTCTGAACATTTTCTCCTGTCTGTCATATTTTCCTCCACCCCCCCTTCCCTCTTGTCAGGCCCAGCGTCCCTGCGCCCCTCCTTCTCCCGCTCCCTCTCTGTCACGGATGAGTCGTCGTTGAAGAAGATGGGCCTGAAGACTGTGTCTATCCCGGACTGTTCATCCCGTCCCTCCTCTTACTCAGTCAAGAGCCCTGTGAGATTGAACTCTAATCCAGAATGACCCCCCTTCTTCCACCACGGTCCTTCTGCAGGGATTAAACCACCTCAACAACTGCAGCTGGACAGAACTTTGTACTTTTCAAAGATGTTAAAGGTCACAGTTTCAATAGGATGTCTATAATCATTGTTAGAGTAAAATAAATATAAGCTACGCACAGATTTTTTAAATGCCAAATCCACTCACTACCTGTGAGAGGTTCCCTCCTTCAGGTTAGCTGCTAATCTATCTAGTGGCAGCTAATAACTCCAAAGGCGTGGTCTGTGCTCACCTCACCAAGCTGCCTTAAGGCCCACACACTAGCTTCAAAATTAGTCAGGAATGAGCCGCACCGCAGAAATCCTATAGCAAGCAGAACTTTGACATGAGGATTTGCATCATTGACCAATAGCACAACTGCGTTAGCTGTGTTGACCTCTGTCCTTCGTGTAGCACCACAAGTGAAAACATCAAGGGCTATGTTCACATTACAAGCCTCATTGCTCAAATCCGATCTCTCTGACACGATGGTTCACACTCGTTTAGGTAAGTAACTCAAATCTGTCATTAATGTGATAATCCGGCGTCCTGAAATGACCCTCATGAGCTCATCCTACTCAGTAACGTCACGTGAATGAATCATGAGCATCATCAGCACAAACTAACGAGCAGAACGAGCTTCGCTGAGAAGATCATTAACTCTGATCAGCTCTCAGCTTCATTATTAGAGCGAGACGAAGGAGAAAAAGGTGAGATGAGCTGCTTTTCCACCATTTACAGGCTTTAACTTCTGTTCGGCGCTGTTGCCATGGTAACGCTGAATGATGGCACATGCGCAGTGGAAAAAGCACATGAATTCCGATCTGAGTGTCACATTAAGGTCGCATGACCATAAATTGCATACATATCCGATCTAGGACCACATATGAAAGTGGCTCAGGTCAGATTTGAAAAGATCAGATTTGCGTGTCCACACAGATCTGAAAACATCAGATCTGAGTCACATTAAGGCAAAAAATCGGATTTGTGCCACTTCAGCCTGGTAACGTGAACGTAGCCTAGGTGAAGTCAGCATATCTGATATATTTCTCATAATGAGGTTGCTGTAAGAATACTGTAAAACGACTCCATCTATTTCTATACATTTTTACTTGTTTTTAGTAATTTTACTCTATGAAAGTGTCTTTTTTCATTGGCAGATAATTTCACAAGCTTTGAGAAATAATGCTAACAAGTACAATAATCTGTCAGTGGAACAAGACACTCTCATAAAATGAAATTACTTAAAACAAGTAAAAAAATATCTATAAGTAAGTTAAATAACATTATTATATTCTTACAACAAACTCATAATGGGAAAGATTAGACACATTTACCACACACTGCAAAAACAGTATCTTGTCAAGTGAAATGATGTTAAATCTATTTAATATATCTAATATTTCTCCTGTTGAGATTGTTTTAAGCTTCTTCTAAGATTATTTCAGTTATTTCCAAACTTTTTGTACCTGTTATAAGTAATTTTATTAAGTTTATCTCACTATATTAGCAGATACTTTTGCTTATTTTAAGAAATGTGCTTGAAATGAGCAAAATTATCTGCCAATATAGCGAAATAATTTTACTTAATAAAATACTTAAAATGTCTAGAAATAAGCTAAATAATCTTATCATAAGTGCACAACTATCTTAAAATAAGAAATATTAGATATTTTGACTAGAATTAAGATAATGTCACTTGACAAGATACTATTTTTTGCAGTGTACAATGTTTTCACTTGATAACCCATATGGAAAAGAAATATATGGACAGTGAAATGCATTTCTAATATAACCCCATTTTCAAAAAAGTTGGGACGCTGTGCAAAATGTAAATAAAAACAGAATGCAGTGATGTGCAAATTAATTAAAACCTTCATTCAATCAAAAATAGAACAAATACAAGACATCAAATGTTGAAACTGAGAGGTTTTATTGTTTTTTGAAAAATATATGCTCATTTTCAATTTCATGCCAAGTCCCAACTTTTTTGGAAATTGGGTTGTACATTGTTTTATTCCCAAATGCATTTCAAACACTTAAGTACACTAAGCGAACATTCTGTAGGCATTTTCAAGCATTTTCTAATGTATTTGATAAATACACTTTACACAAATTTCTCTTCCACATGGGAAGATGTCATTTTTGGAGGTGCAGATTTATACACAAATGAGAGACGGTATGGTGTATAGCTGGATTAGATGGCATAACTATCTTTTGTGTAGTTTGCTAGTCACTGCTGAGTTGCTTGCTGCAACAAAATGCAGGATTTGTTCTGTCGTTAGTCTTCCTGTGGTGACCGTAGTGGTCATCCCTGCTGAACTGGTCCAACCTCAACCGATGTAGTTTATGCCGTTAAGTACTGTTTAACTCCTGCAGTGACAGCCTTCCAGTGTATTTTGTTTAAGACCTTATTTCAGAGTGATCAAAGTCTTTATAGTAAAGTCAGTTCACTTGGCAGCCATCTTTGCAGCTATTTCCAGTCATACAAGATCAGGCTTCTATATTTTTGAATGAGCAGAGACCAAAATACTTGACAGATCAAATTACCGTTTTAAAAAAACACATTTGAAATCACTGACAAAATCTGACAAAAACCTCATCAATAATTAGTAGCGTTTGGCTCAGTAACACACAAAACATGAATTTTTGTTGTTATGTTCTCAACAACAAGGGGGGCTTTTATCGCTTGATGCTTTACCAGTAAGCTGATTGGCTTTTTCTTGGAGGACGGAACAGACGCCACTTTACGTGCTTTACCATTCATTTTCCAACCAGTAACCGTCTCCTCCTCCTTTATAATGTCTCTGGAGTGTTATTAGCACTAGCTAGCAGTTTAGCTGCTCACGTTTACCTAATGTACTCAGTGAAAGCCTGCTGGATGTCCTATTTAATCAGGGACTGTGGCTACAGTCATATCACTGTATAAATTCTTCAAATTGAGACAAGCTGTCCGTTTAGGTAACTAGGTTAACTATTCTTTATCCAGGTCACCTTTGAAATGAATTAGCCTGTGGCAATCTTGTCACAATCTTCGTACAAAACGCTAACCATGCTAGAGAAACTAGAACAGAGCAGCATGGTTGGTCAACAAAACCAGAATATCGCTGCTGTCAGAACTAAACCTTGTGTCGTCAAAAAGGTCACTTTACAGGAGAAGAAAAAAAGTTCTTCATTTTTAATGGAAGTATATGGATAAATATTTTTTTTTCCAAGTAATGGAAGTTTCCAAGTTTGGTCTGTTCATCATGAAATTTTGAAAACTTATAAAGGGCAACTCAAATTATGTTGAAAAATGAAAATGATGGCAAAAATAGAAGGTTTTATCCCAACAGCAACGATATGTTGTGTTTTGGATACTGGTATGCTGGTCAACCAGCAAAACCATACTGGGTGACCAGCTAAACCAGCAAAAGGCCCACACAAACCAGCTTAGACCAGCACGGAATGGGCCTCTCTCCCAATGGGCCAATCTGGTGTCTGCATGGTCGCTAACTCACAACTAAATATAAAAACAAATGAAAAAAACAATCTGTATAATTCAATGTATGTATATGAGAATTACTGATGTACATAGGGCTGGGCAATATGACAATATTTATTGTTATCGCGATAAATAAAAGACATCAAAAAAAATAAAACTCGTGATACAACGTGTACCATGAAAATTTCTTTATCGCGATGTAATATCTTTGCTATATCACCCAGCTCTAGATGTATATGAACTGTTTTGTAAAAAAATACTAAGGGCTAGCATTTGTCTTATTCATTTGTCAGCTAAGTTGATTAAAAAACTATTAATGTGTCAATTAAACCTGTCAAACTACACAGCTATGCAAAAGTTTGTGCACCTCTGGTCAAATGACATGTTGAAGAGAAGGTAACGTGTCCTTTACAGAAAACATGTTGAGGGAAAAAGAATAAAGCATAAAATGTGACCTGTGCAAAAGCAATGGCACCTTTAACGTTTCATGTTTGATTTTAAACTCAGCAAATAAACAGAAACATTTGCAGAAAAAGGCCACATTTAAGGGCATTTTAAGTGGATGTGTTAACTCATTTTCACTTAGAGATGTCATTCGATTGGGGCTGTTCAAACTTTTGCATACACCTGTGCACCTCTGCCTGAACCAGCGTAAAAAAGGGGCCAAATGGAGGAAATAAAGCAATTGTTACAAGCTCTGAGGCTTTTAATGAGTTTCTGACACCTTGATGCTTCAAGACCTGATTGCTCTGTGAAGGTACGAGTAAATAAATCTCAGCTCCACAGAGAAAAGCTGGAGAGTACACAAAAGGGACAGTTGTGGTGTTCAAGCGTTTGTGTTCTTTTTACCACTGTCATCTCCAACATTGCTCACAGATAACTGCAGCAAAACAACCTCCTTCTTATGGATACTGCAGTCTTTTTTCAGCTCTTACACTTTATCTCCTCTGTTTATCTCTGTGATGTGTTAACCCTTTCAACTCCAGGCTTTTTATCATCATCATCATCATCACAATCGTAAACTGCTTAATCCAGATAGGGTCGCTGTAGCAGTTGGGAGAGCAGAGAATCCTAGACGATCCTGTCCCCCGCAACTTCCTCCAGTTCATCCTGGGGGACCCCAAGCCGCCCCCAGGCCAACTTGGAGATATAATCCCTCCAGCGAGTCCTAGGGTGACCACAGGGTCTCATCCCAGTAGGCCGAGACTGGTAAACCCTCACCAGAAGGCGTCCAGGGGTCCTGAACCTCCTCAACTGGCTTCTCTCAAAGCTGTGGAGTAGCGGCTCTATGCTGGAGTATGCAGCCTCAGAACTGTAATGTTACTGAAGTTACTACTGACAGGATGGATTATTGTCTGTGTCTCCTTTCTTCTTTTTCTGCTCAATACTTTTGAATATTTAAACAAATCTATTTGCCTCTTTGACGTTATTGTAACAGCATTTAGTCCCCTCAGAACTCCTAGCATAACTGTGTAAACAGGTGTAGAGTAACCATAGACATGGCTGTAGAGTATAGCATACAATGGAAGTTGGTATAGTGAAAATATGGAAACATGGAAATAAGTGCAATGACCCCCTGTCCCCAGTGAAAACTGTGGCTGTGTATAAGGTATGTAATTATGTTAGTGAGGAAGGGAGGTCTATGTTTCGGCTTTAAGGGGTGTCAGAAATATTCCACTAACCCACATATGACTCCAGGCTGTTTTGGTTAGATCTCTGCCTCTTTCCTCTTTTTTTCCACATCTCCATATCTCATTGCCAGGCTTCCCTCTTTTCTGCCCCCTCCCCATCACTCTTTTTCTCACAGGAAAACCTTCCTAGAGCTGCATGAAATTCATTAAAAAGGAGAAAAGCTCTCTGGAAGGCACCCTCTCATCTAATCCTGGGGAACAGCAGCAGCCACATAGACAGAAAGCACAATCTGGGCCTTACTATCAAAGCCAGGCCAGAGATTAGAAAGGATACAAGCGGACAAGGTTCAAAGTCTGCTTTATTCTGCCTCGCTGCTAAATGGCTGACTATTCTGTTTTGATGTTTAAAGAAAAACTCTTCCTGT